TATTTCTGAATAATTATTAAACAATATTGGCATAGCTTTTGTTACATACCCAAAACACATGTATCTTGTATCACTACAAAAATTACAAAATGTAAACAAGATAGAGTATCACTCTTGTTTTTATATAACATGAATCAGTACATGTGTGAACTAAAATATTTCATGCAACTTTTCATTCCATAACAACTTTCCTTTTGACTTAGATGATTAAGGCAAAAGAAGCAAACCTTTAGAAACTTTATTTCTCTCATCGCAATTTTGTTGACAGATTTCTCTGGTCTCTCATAAAATATCTTAATGGCCACTATCTGCCCAGTATTCTTATGTTTACATTTCATGACTGTTCCGTAACTTCCCTCTCCCACTTTTCCAAGGGTTTCATACATCTCCATTTTCAAGCTGGGCTTTTACTACTTTATAGAAATGAAGAAAGAAAATGGAAAATGTTAAACGTTTATACTTTTATTTATTCAAACTAACAATCATATCCACAATAAACCCATAGTTTCAAATAACAGAGTCATTAAACAAACAACAAGAAAGGAATCTTTTCCACTGGGCTTTTTAGTATGAGTAAGGTGTCCTTCTGAGGCTCCAACTCTCACCAGAACTTAGGGGTACTCCTGCTGTCTCGGTCATGCCCAATAACACCTTGAGATTACCTCACTATAAGTCACCATCCATCAAGCATGGGGTCCCCACAATTCCTGTCATGTTCCTGTCAAATAAGAAGTTCCTGCACTACAGCAGTCGCCTACTTATCAGGCCCAAGGTCATAAAAACGACCGGTCCCGCCCTCAATTCAAACCAGACGTCTTAGGATGCCGGACCGGCGTCACACCCTACGTCCAGCTGTCGACTTTATCCAAACAGCTGCCACCGCCTCAGCCCATTCTGTGGTCCCGCTGGCCTGGCTCTGCGTAGTTCCAGTGGGGCCACGGAACACTGACCCTACTTTGTTGGTTAGGTCCTAGCCAAGGCTCCGGCCACTCGTTACCATGGAAACTGCGGTGGGGTTGCTGCGTTCCAGCCCTAGTGCGCAAGACCGGAACGTGATCAAGGTCCCGACCCGGAAGGGAAAGCGACAAGAAACGGAACCTGTTCTGGGTAGGCACAAGGGGGAAGAGTTCTTGGGATTTGGGTGGGCAGTACAGGTTGCTGTCGCAGCTGAGCCTCCTCACAAGGTTACTTTTGAATGGAGGTGGGGAGCGTCCGCGTTTTTTTTTTTTTTTTTTTTTTTTTTATTGAGACAGTCTTGGATTGCCCAGGCTGGAGTGCAGTGTCGCAATCTCGGCTCCTTGCAATCTCCAACTCCCGGGTTCAAATGATTCTCTTGCTTCAGCCTCCCGAGTAGCCGGGATTACAGGCATGCGCCACCACGCCCGGATAATTTTTGTACTTTTAGTAGAGATGGGGTGTCTACCTTGTTGGCCAGGCTGGTCTCTAACTCGGACCTCAGGTAATCTGCCCGTCTCGGCCTCCCAAAGTGCTGGGATTACAGGGGTGAGCCGTCACGCCTGGCCAACATGGTTCTTAAATCAAAAACTTCTTGAACACATGCCATATGCCTTTTAATTTTTTCCAACTGTTAGTAATCTTTTTTTTTTTTAAAAAAAAAAAGAACTCTCCCTCACCACATGTCAAACTCTAGGCAAGCAGGTAATTCGAAGGGTTCTACCACATAGGAAGTGATGTACAAGGGCACAGAAATAAAGAGGCCGGAGTCTAATTGCTTAAGTAGACAGAGTTCGGCTGGAGTGACAGTCCCTAATGAATAACCACCACATCACTAGAGCAAGTCCCTAAAGAGTGCTTTTTTTTTTTTTTAATTGAATAGAGCTTTTTTTTTTCTTTTTTCTACAAAATGAGTTAAATGTAAAAGGCGAAATCTTGCTATGCTTCCCCTAAATAAGAGAAAAAGCATTAATTCTAGTCCGGTGGGTCTCACCCCATCATGCATATTTAAATCGCACCTGGAGGGCTTTTAGAAAGCAACTCACAATCCCCACGTCCACACCAGTGCCCAGAGAGCCTGATTTAATTGGGATAGTGTAAATAAATTAGCATTTTTAAAGCATCTCAAGTTTTCTATGCTGCTAGGGTTTATATTGAGAGAAAGGAGAAGTGGTCATGGTTTTCATTGATCAGCTAAAATATTCAGAATTGTCTTTCCTTTGAACGTTATTGAACCACAATGTAAAATGCCTTCTACAAGTAAGAATGTCACAGTAAATCTTACAGTGGGCTCAAACTTGATGTAAACATATTATTGTGGGCTAAATATTTGCAAGGAGGCTGCACACAGTGGGTCATACCTGTAATCCCAAGGAGGCCAAGACGGCCTGAACCCAAGAGTGCCAGACCAGCCTGGGCAACAGGGCAAAACCCCATCTCTACAAAATTTAGAAAATATAAAAATTAGCCAGGCGTGGTGGTGCACACCTGTGGTTCCAGCTACTTGGGAGGCTGAAGTGGGAGAACTGCTTGAGCCTGGAAGGTCAAGGCTACAGTGAGCCCTGTTCACGCCACTGCACTCCAGCCTGGGTGACAAAGCAAGACTCTGTCTCAAAAAATAAAAAGAAAAAATTTTCCCAGGAGAAAAATGAACCAAACGGAGTCCCTTTGCTGCCCTCAGTGAGTTCATAATCCAGAGCTACAGAATTGATAACAGCATACAATTGATAGCTTTAAAATTATTCCTTCTACAACTTTTACAAGTTGTGGCAGGCCTGGTTAATCAGGACATCCAGCGATTCTTGCTAATACACAATTGTAAGACTTTATGATGCAGATTCACTGAATTAGTCAAAAGTGTTATTTCATTTTGGAAAATAATAAACTGTTTCCAAAATAATTGTAAATCCCTGTGGTCACTGAATTCCTTACCTCTCTTGCCTCCAGTTCCCATCTTCAGGTCTTCGTTGGTCAGTCAGGAGGATTCTGAGCACATTTGTATCCATTTAGGAAATTCTTCAGCTCAGCGTGGAAAGGGAGGGTAGGAGGAGGACCTCAGCATTGTCCTAATCTTGCACATAGTTCCATGGAACCAGAAAGGGTTAACTTTTTCCACTTTCCTTGTACCTCCCTTTCTGCAAACCCTGAATGGTCTCTGCTTTCAGTGACTGCGTTGACTGGTAAATTACAAGGTTTTTTGGGGGTTTTTTGCTGTTTTTTTTTTTTTTTTTGAGACGGAGTTTCGCTCTTGTTACCCAGGCTGGAGTGCAATGGCGCGATCTCGGCTCACCGCAACCTCCGCCTCCTGGGTTCAGGCAATTCTCCTGCCTCAGCCTCCTGAGTAGCTGGGATTACAGGCACACGCCACCATGCCCAGCTAATTTTTTGTATTTTTAGTAGAGACAGGGTTTCACCATGTTGACCAGGATGGTCTCGATCTCTTGACCTCGTGATCCACCCGCCTCTGCCTCCCAAAGTGCTGGGATTACAGGCTTGAGCCACCGCGCCCGGCCTGCTGTTTTTTTTTGAGACAAGATCTCAGTGGCATGATGATGGTTCACTGCAGCTTCAACTTCCTTGGCTCAAGCAATCCTTCTGCCTCAGCCTCCCGGGTTGCTGGGACTACTGGTGTGTGCCACCATGCCTAGCTAATTTTACTTTTTGCAGAGACAGGATCTCCTGTTTTGTCGAGGCTGGTCTCAAACTCCTGGCCTCCCAAAGTATTAGGATTACAGGCATGAGCTAATGCCTCAGCTCATGAGGAATATTTTTAAGATATAGTTTCTCTTGACCATTTTTCTCCATATAACCCTACGTGTGTATCTTTTGCTATTGGAAGGGTTAGGACTACAGTGGCAGAAAGGCAAAAAAATTAAGAATATTCAGCTTTTTACTTAGAAAACACATTGTGAATGTTTAACAGGACCTATCAAGAGTTAGGCCTGGCTAACTCGATCACCAAGGCAGTCACTGGAAGCAGAGAGAGAATTCGGGGTTTGAAGAAAGGAAGATGGAAGGAAAGTCAGAAAAGTTAACTCTGCTTCCATGGAACTATGGGCAAGGTTGAGGTAATGCAAAGGCCTTCATTCCACCTTCCCTTTCCCTGTTGAGCTGAAGGATTCCCCAAATGGATACAGAAGTACTCAGAGTCCTTAGTATAACAAAGTCCTGAAGGTAGGAATTGGAAGCAATAGAGGGAAGGACAGTAACTACAGAAAATATTCAAGGTCTGTGGGAGGTCAACACTTCTGAACCCCCTGGTGATGGGGGGCACTTCTGGCCCATTTGCACTTTACTTGCTAGTGTGGAAAACCTGAAGTTATCTCAGGCTAGATTTATAACCCTCACTCATGTCTACAGGATCTCTCCCCCAGGTATGAATCATATTTGTAGGTTTCTTTGACAACCAACCACTCATTGATATGCCTGGAAGTCTGCACCCCCACATTCCTTAAAAATACAATGATACACCCCCCCCATAGGCAAGTCCGGGACTCTGACACATATCTTCAAATGAAAGCAGACCCAGAAAGGAAAAACTGAATAATACACCATCCTTTAATGTTTGCCCAAAATTTCCAATACTAGAAACCCCACTGCAAAGCTGAAAGACTATTTGGTGGCTTCAAGGAAGCATTTCAGGAGATTGTTGTGTGGGCCTCAACATTCAATTAGAAGATCGTGCAATCCTCTTACTCTTCTTGCCCCAGTACCAGGGTTGATAAGCCACTGAACCAACCAGAGGGGAATTATTTTTGGTCCCGGTTTAAAGAAAACAAAACAAGCTGTTGATTCTGCCATGACCTCTTGGGTAGTGTTGTCTCTAACCTGTAATAAACAGGAAACAACTAATAAAGGTGTATCCCCCTTAAACCAGCATCTTAGACGTGGCTGAAACTCACATCCAGGAGAGGCTTTCACGTGACCCGTTTTAAACGCGTCATAGGGACACGTGGTTCTAGATACTTCTCCCCCTCCCCCTCAGGGGTGGATTGTTGACAAGGCCACGGTCAGTCACGTGATCTTACGTCATCCCACCTCCTTTCCCTGAAGTCTCTGGCCCGGATGAGTTCCCCGCTCTCCACCCCGCCGAGCCTAAACTAATGACGGGGAGGGAGACAGGATAGTGTTTTGGTTCCGTGGTCTCTGAATCCACAACCTCTAGTGTGAGCACAGAGTACACAAACTTGTCGATCATTTCAGGAAGCCCAGGCTGAACCCAGCCCCGCAGAAGGGATCGGGGAACGCGCGCTCCCGCGTCCCGCCCCCTCCTCCCCCAGCGCTCTTCTGTGGTAGCGGCGGAGGGCGGAGGGATCCGGAGGCGGCGGAGGGAGACGTCATTGCAGGGTTGTTTGTCAGTCTCGGCGGCGGCGGCGGCGGCGGCGGCGGCGGCGGCGGCTACCCACCGTGATTTGGCCGCCGCGCCGGGGGGTGGGGGGGCTGCGCGGGACTCTTTTCTTTCAGACTGACCGCGGGGCAGCTGGGGAGCATGTCGACCCCGGCCCGGAGGAGGCTCATGCGGGATTTCAAGCGGTAAGGGCCTTCACCTCCGCCTAGATGATGGCCCCTCAAAGCTGCGGGGCTGCAGGGTGGGGATCCCGGACACCTTCCCCTTGTGACCCTCCGAGGGCCGGCTGTGGGCCCAGCGGAACTGGCGGAAGCCGGGTCCTAGCCTCGGCTTCCACTCCCTTATTCTTGCCTCTCGCTCTGGCGGCCGAATAAATTTCGATACTCCTTCTCCCCCCAAAAAGTAAAACGGTGTCGATCGACTGGCCTACGGTTCCCTGCTGCCCATTTCGGCCAGCTGCCCGGCGATCAGACTTCCTCCACCCGCTCCTGCACCCTGCGGCGCCCTTCTTGTCCTCTCAAAGTGAGCTCCTGCGGGAGCTTCTTCCTCGCCGGCTGCACTGGTCAGCTTTGTTTCACCGCCCCGCCGTCTTCTCCGAGGAGCCGGGTTGGGGCGAACCACCCCCCCCCCCACGCCCCAGTCCTTTCCATTTCTACCGTGAGGGTGGGGTCCAGTGCGTGAGGCCCGGAGCTTAACCCATCCCCCGAAACCCGACTCTGTCCCCGCCCGCCTGAAAGGACCTTGGGAACTGACTTAGAGATCTAGGACCTCAGAGCTGGCCACCCCGGCTGCCAGTGCCCTCTGGAACTCAGCTCTGGCTGGTGAAGAAAGCCCTATCTATAGCCTCCCGAGTCTGGAAAAATGCCTTCCCCTGGACTGGCGCTAATTTGATACTCCCTGGGCCTCCTTTGGTAAATAAATAAGGTTTTGTTAGGAGGTATTGGGGTTGTGAGGAAGAAAATGATTAGTTCGTTGTTTACCTTTAATTGGATACTTAGAGACATAGAAAACATAAGTGAGAAAACAGCATTTTGATACTCTGCACATTTTTCTTAAATTTTTTTTCTGGGGATACCTGCCCTAATTGAGACAAAATAACTGGCCTAAAAACTTAGATTTGTCGCTCAGGAAGCCGCCTCTCAACTCAGCCATTATAAAGCCTATGTGAAGCATTTGGAAGCCATCCATTGTTTTGGGCTTTGGCCAACTTTTTTAATTCATTGGTAGCTTCTCTTAGCCATTTAAAGGTAGGCGTCAAGCAGTGCAGTTCTTGTGAGGCTTCTGTTCGTGATGGCCTAATTTGCTTGAAATTGACTGAAAACCATTTTTTTTTATGTGGACTAGTTGCAAAGTGTGATGCCCCATGAAAACGACTGCATATGTATTTGTGTGTATAATGAGCGTTTTTAATTGCGGCTACAGTCTCTGAAAGGAGATGCCCTTTTTGGTGCAAAAGTCATCTTTCTAAAGCTTGAAATCAGTGTATTTGCTTGGCACTAGTGACTAAAATTCAAATAGTAATTTAGTTTATGTCATTGTCGCCTTGGTTTCTTACTGTAATGCTCTGCTTAATTCTGAGTTGAATATATGACACCTTTTGAAGTTTTCCAAAGGTCTGCAGTTTACAAGAATTTGACTGAGGAATGTTGGAAAGCCTTGTATTGAGTCTCCTGATCTGAGAGGTAGATTTGGTGTTAATGCAGAGCCTTAAAATAGGGACTGGCGGAAAACCTACTGATTACTTTTTAAAGCCATTGCTGTTTGAAGCAAAAGGGATAAAGTAAATCTGCCTAATACTAGTTTTGTAATTAATGTGTTTTCAGTCATTTAGCGTTTACACTGAGGTTTGTTTTTTTTTTTTTAGCCATTTTGCAGAAGTACCTGTGGTTAAGACACACAGTATTTGGATGTTTAGAGCTGCAAAATCGATGGTTCTGTAAAAATATTATTTGCTTTTGAGGTTTTAAACTTTTTTTGGTTTAAGAGGACAGTCTGTATGCATCAATTCTTGAAGAGATAATAATTTTGATAATATTGAAAGAGGGTTGATTCTCAAGCCTTTTACATTTTTAGATAATTTGGAGAGGTATTTAATGTGTATATACCTGGTTAATATACTTAAGTCATAGGGTTCATTTTAGTTTACAATAACAAGGAAATGGAATTAGTCTCTGTGTCACAATAGATGGTATAGTGTCTGTAGGTGTTTATGTGGCCTCCTTAGTGGCCTTAATGTTCAACTTTTTAAATTACCACTCTGGATTTCTAGGTTACAAGAGGACCCACCTGTGGGTGTCAGTGGTGCACCATCTGAAAACAACATCATGCAGTGGAATGCAGTTATATTTGGGTGAGTTGAAAGGTTTATAATAGGTGTGTGTTGAATCTTTAAGTGAATATATGACAACTGTCTAGGAAAAGAAACTGGGGTGGAATGAGAGATCTTAAGGACTAAAACCACAAGATAAATTAGAAAAAAAAAATTTTATTTAGAATTTTAGCTCATGCCCAGGAGGATCGCTTGAACCCAGGAGTTCATCACCAGCCTGAGCAATGTAATGAGACAGTGAGTCTGTCTCTCCCCGCCCCCCAAAAAAGGAGTTTTGGCCCAGCCTGGGCAACATAGTGAGACTTCATCTCTACAAAAAGTGTAAAACTAGCTGGGCATAGTGGTGCACACCTGTGGTCCCAGCTACTTGGAAGGCTGAGGCAGGAGAATCACTTGAGCCCAGGAGTTTGAGTGCCATGATTATGCCACTGCACTCCAGCCTGGGCAGCAGAACCAGGACCCTGTGTCTCAAAAGAAAAAAAAAAGGAAAAAAATTTCAGCAGTTATATAAAATTTATTTGCTCTTTTATTACATAGGGTTTTATAATCACTTCAGGTTTTACTTTTAAAATACTATTCAAAACTAAATGGAATGGAATAATAAAGGAGAAAAGATAAATTATTTTGTATAAAATATACCATGCAAATGCTCTCATTCTATTGGAGCTATTACAAGATTTGGAACCAAAAATATTAAGAACTTCTACCGTGGCAAGTATTTAAGCGAAAATGATTCACAACCCAGTGTGAAATAGCAGAATGCAGCCATTTGAGAAGGAGTCCTAAATTTTACCTACTATATATGCTGCATATATGCTTTTTAATTTAAATTTTCCTTATGCTTTTTCTTTGGTTTTTCTGGACTTGATCTGTTTTTTCTTTCATTCCTTTGAAACTCGAGATATGCATTAAAAAGTAAAAGGAATATGTTGATAAACAGAATTCTGATACTACAGATCAGCTACAAGAGTCTACATTTAAAGACTGGTGGAAAATGAGTGAGGTTCACCCTCATAAAGCACTTCTGTTATATTCAGGCTATTATCTGGCTATTTTGAGATCCTGAATATGCCTTGCAAGTAATAATTAAACTTTATGCTGCTGCTTAGGAAGTATGAAATTGGGATGTGGGGGCAAGGATCTGAGCAAGAGAATCTGGCTTTTTGGTGACAGCAACTATGCTTAGCCTATTTGAACAAGCGTTATGCATCTGTTGGAAAGCAGGACACTTGGGTTTAGCATCATAACTAAAGAGTATTGCTTTCCATCTTATTGCTGTAAAATGAAAAGATGACTTTTTCTCTTAAGAGTATACATATGTGGCCAGGCATGGTGGCTCATACCTGAAATCCCAGCACTTTGGGAGGCTGAGGCGTGTGGATCACCTGAGGTCAGAGTTCAAGACCAGACAGACCAACATAGTGAAACCCCGTCTCTACTAAAAATACAAAAATTAACCAGGTGTGGTGGCACATGCCTATAATCCCAGCTACTCGGGAGGCTGAGACAGGAGAATCCCTTGAACCCAGGATGAGCAGGTTGCAGTGAGCTGAGATCACGCCATTGCACTCCAGCCTGGGCAACAAGAGTGAAACGCCTTCTCAGGGGGGAAAAAAAAAAAAAAAAAACCAACAACAAACAAAAAATATACATGTGTACAAAATGACTGGTCAGTATTAATGAACTGGAAGTTTTTTGTGCTAAAATTATGGGCAAGTTTTTTTGTTTGGTGTGGTGAAACCACCCTAAAAAGAAAGCTTAGAATGAAAGTTGTACTTTATGCCTGTGTTTACGAAAATCCAGGGCTAAGGTGTTACTAAGCTGTATCTTAAAACTACACAAATCATCAGAATTGGTCCCTCTTTTTCTGTTGGAATTTATCATTTCCTCTTTTGAAAGTCAGTAAAAAGCAGAATGAGAAACTTCTTTTAATCAGAAATCTTCTTGTTTTCAGACCAGAAGGGACACCCTTTGAAGATGGTAAGTGATACTCATTATGTTTTCTGTAGTGTTATGAGGTTGCTTTTTAGTAGAAAATTGTAACACCAACATATCTATTTGAAGCCATTTTCTAAGGTTAATAGGCCAAGTTAAAATTTAGTAAAGCTGTGGAGAATTTATACTTTATAAAGGACTTTTTTTCCCACATCAGCCTGGTCACATCCATTGGTAAAGTAACCAATATTAAAGGTTACTTTAAGGCCAGGCATGGTGGCTCACACCTGTAATCCCAGCACTTGGGGAGGCCAAGGTGGGCAGATCACAAGGTCAGGAGATTGAGACCATCATGCCCAACATGGTGAAACCCCATCTCTACTAAAATACAAAAAAAATTAGTTGGGCATGGTGATGTGCACCTGTGGTCCCAGCTACTCAGAAGGTTGAGGCAGGGGAATCACTTGAACCCAGGAGGCAGAGATTGCAGTGAGCTGAGATCGGGCCACTGTACTCCAGGCTGGTGACAGAGTGAAACTCCGTCTCAAAAAAAAAAAAAAAAAAAGGGTTACTTTAATATTTTCCTGTAGAACTGTAAGCCTAGATGGCAGTGTCTATGTTGAGAATAGTTTAAATTTAGTTGGCTTTAATAACTATATCTCTAAGGTGAACCTCAGAAGAGTAAATCATGCTTTTTACTTTGTTATCTTTGATATTTGATATGGTGTTGAGCTGAAATTTTTCTTAAAACATACATAGCTGCCAGTAGCTTCAAGTACTTACTAGCATTTAACACCCATTTCGCATAATCTTATGCATCTCAAGTTGGGTATTTATATCAGAAGCTAGGAAAATGGGAAACTAGTTCTAATAATGTGTTTATAGTGAGCTTATCCAATTGATTTTAACCAGGTACTTAGATTTTTCCTAATTACAGTGTTGGATTTTAAGAAATTATCAAACAGCTTTGTTATTAACAAAATGACTTCAGAATTAATCCATCAAAAGTATTTATCCAAGAATACTGACTGCAGCACTTGTTCATAAGGACGTAACCTGAATGTCCAGTGGGAGAAATGGTTAAGCAAATTATAATGTATCTGGACTCTGGAATATGTACCTGTTAAATAATAAGGTTGATTTGGACAAATGTCTTAAGGGGACAAAAAAACTGAACAATAATGTTTGTTGTAGCATCACATTTTCAGTAAATACATACATACATGTGTGTCTGTGTTAAAGGGTTATATACCAAACTGTTATCAGTGATTATCTGTAGGTGGGGGAAAGGAGTTGAAGGAGGAGGTACTTAAGGACTTCACCTGTTTTCTCTACATCAAGGATTCTCAAGTGTGTGTTCCATAAACCCCTTGGGGTCTCAGACATCCTGCAGTCAAATCTCATCATACTAAGAATGTTGACATTTGCACTGATGGTACAAAACCAATGGTGGCTAAAAACTACACCTAAGCAGTTTCCTGTCTTAGAACAAATCAAGGCATTAGACAGTGGCACCAAACCATACTAACAGTTATTGTATTTGCATTTTAAAAGATGCCAGTTGGCCAGGCGCAGTGGCTCACACCTGTATAGCCAGCACTTTGGGAGACTGAGGCAGATGGATCACTTGAGCCCAGAAGTTTGAGACCAGCCTAGGGCAACCCATCTCTACAAAAAATTAGCCAGGAATGGTGGTACATGCCTTTAGTCCCAGTTACTTGGGAGGATGACCTGAGCCCAAGAGGTCAAGCTGCAGTAAGCCCTGATGGAGCCACTGCACTCCAGCCTGGGCGACAGAGTGAGACCCTGTCTCAAAAAAGAAACTGCCAATTTTTCTTAATTTTGAGGCCTTTTTTTTTTTTTTTGAGACGGAGTTTCACTCATGTTACCCAGGCTGGAGTGCAATGGCGCGATCTCGGCTCACCGCAACCTCCGCCTCCTGGGTTCAGGCAATTCTCCTGCCTCAGCCTCCTGAGTAGCTGGGATTACAGGCATGCGCCACCACGCCCAGCTGATTTTTGTATTTTTAGTAGAGACGGGGTTTCACCATGTTGACCAGGATCGTCTCGATCTCTTGACCTCGTGATCCACCCGCCTCGGCCTCCCAAAGTGCTGGGATTACAGGCTTGAGCCACCGCGCCCGGCCTATTTTGAGGCATTTTTATTAGTAGTATGAAGCTCTGGACCCTTGAGTATCTATCTTTTTGTTTGTTTGTTTGAGATGGAGTCTCACTCTCTCACCCAGGCTGGAGTGCAGTGGCTCGATCTTTGCTCACTGAAACCTCTGCCTCCCAGGTTGAAGTGATTCTCATGCCCCAGCCTTCCAAGTAGCTGGGATTACAGACATGTGCCACCACGCCCAGCTAATTTTTGTATTTTTGGTAGAGACGGGGTTTTACCATGTTGGCCAGGCTGGGGTCTTGAACTCCCAACCTCAGGTGATCTGCCAACCTCAGCCTCCCAAAGTGCCGAGATTACAGGCATGAGCCACCGCACCCGGCCGAGTATCTATCTTTTAATATTCTGTATGATGAAGTGAGATGTATGAACAAAGCACTTCTGCATGTCATAGTATGATAGTTGTCTGGAGGAAAAGCACTTGTGCAGTTGTTTGAGTTGCAATTTGAACTACTTTTTTCATGGAACATTTTTATTTGAAAGAATGACAGACAAGCTGTGGTTATTTATGTTTGAATGTATGGCAGACATATTCTCAGAAGTGATGTAATAAGCTGGGCATGGTGCCGCACACCTATAATCCCAGCTACTCAGGAGCCTGAGGTGGGAGGATCACTTGAGCCCAGGAATTTGAGGCTGCAGTACGCTATGATTGTGCCACTGCACTACAGCCTGGGCAACAGAGCAAGACTCTGTCTCAATTAAAAAAAAAAAAAAAGTGTGGCCAGGTGCAGTGGCTCATGCCTATAATCCCAGCACTTTGGGAGACTGAGGTGGGTGGATCAACTGAGGTCAGGAGTTCGAGACCAGCCTGTCCAACATGGTGAAACCCCGTCTCTATTAAAAAATACAAAAATTGGGCCGGGCACGGTGGCTCAAGCCTGTAATCCCAGCACTTTGGGAGGCCGAGGCGGGTGGATCACAAGGTCAAGAGATCAAGACCATCCTGGTCAACATGGTGAAACCCCGTCTCTACTAAAACTACAAAAAAATTAGCTGGGCATGGTGGCGCGTGTCTGTAGTCCCAGCTACTCAGGAGGCTGAGGCAGGAGAATTGCCTGAACTCAGGAGGCGGAGGTTGCGGTGAGCCGAGATCGCGCCATTGCACTCCAGCCTGGGTAACAAGAG